CCTAGAGTCCCCCAGTGAGGGGCTGGGGTGTGGCTCAGTGGTAGAGCTCCTGCCTAGAATCCCCCAGTGAGGGGCTGGGGTGTGGTTCAGTGGTCACCTGCCTAGAATTCCCCAGTGAAGGGTGTGGCTCAGTGGTAGAGCCCCTGCCTAGAATCCCCAGTGAGGGGCTGGAGTGTGGCTCAGTGGTAGAGCACCTGCCTAGAATCCCCCAGTGAGGGGCTGGGTGTGGCTCAGTGGTCACCAGCCTAGAATCCCCCAGGGAGGGGTGAGTAGCACCGGGATCCATATTTGGTACTGAAATAAAACAAACAACTCCCAGGGCCTAAGAAGACCCAATGGTGCAGAGACACCCTCTTGTACTCCAGCGATGGCAAGATGGAAGGCAGAGACAAGTGAAAGCTCAATGGCCAGCTAGCCTAGCCAGCAAAGTTACAGGCCAACAGGAGACCCTGTCACAGACTAAAAGGAGAAGGTGCCTGAGGAAGGTGTGACACCTGAGGCTGTCCCCTGACCTCCAAACACACCTGCCTCCATACACACATGTATACCGGGCGACAAACAGCCAGTTCTCAGAGTCTGTCTGAGTATGTTGTAAACCACAACAAAAAAGGTTGATCAGTTTGACTAAGCCAAGACAAAAAATTTTCATGACAAAAACCACCATGAGTAAAACCAAGACACCCTTGAAAACCTATTTTCTCTGAGCCTGCTTCTTAGTGGTTGAGTTTCCTGACAAGAAACCCCAAGGGGGTGAAAGCAGTGAAGGCGGTGAGGCCACCAAGAGAGCAGAGAGAAGGCTGAGGCAAGAAACCTCTCTTGGGTCCTTTGGCTCAAGAGGAGGGAATTCCCACTCGCCCTGGAAGGGCGCCCACACAGCCAGGTCAGCTGGGATGGGGTGCAGCCTCCTGCAGTTTGACTGGAGCCCTGTAAGCAGCTGTGGTGGAATCTGGCAAGTCTCTCCCAGGCTGGCAAGCTGCCTGGCCTCTGACCTTCCTCCTCCACCTCTAAGAATTTGGGTCACCAATGAGTTTCCAGAAGCACAAATGTCATACTGTGAAGCAGCTTGGGGGACCCAATGGTGGCAGAGAGAAGGAACTGAAAGCAAACCAAGGCTTGTCATCCTCGTCCTCAGGAGGCTGAGGCAGTAGGATCTGAGTGTAAGACTGCTCTGGGCTATATAGAGGGACTAAGCCTCAAGAATGAAAGAGAAAGGGAAGTGGGAGGTGCTGATGTTTATGTAATCTTGGCACTCAGAGGAGCAGCAAGAAGATCTGGAGAATAAGGTCATCCTTGGCTACACAGTGAGCTAAGGCCAGCCTGGGCTACATGAGACCCTGTCTCCAACAACCGAGAAGGGGAGGGGAGGGAAAGAGAGAGGGAGAGGAACAATAAAGAAAGAGGAAACAGAAGGGGAAAGAAAGAATAACCGAAGTGTCCACCCAGAGCGGAGTGGGCAAGGCCACGGCGGTCTACATACTCCAGAGACTATGATGGACTATATGAAAGATGAAAAAGTCCCCGTGTGGGGGTTAAAGACACATGCATGCTCATACAGGCAGACACCTCTCCAAAAGAAGCACAGAACCCTGGTCCCTTGTGGCTCCTGGGGTGAGGAGGAGGTGACAGGTCAAAGTCAGGGGGAGCAGGGACTCTCAGCAATCAACACTTGGCTGGGCCTGGTGAGTGTGCCCTGAGCACAGCAGTAGCAAATTATTAAAACACATTTACTAGCAGGCTCAGTGGTACCTGACAATCATCCCGACTACTCTGAAGGTTGGGAGAGGAAGACTAAGGAACAGGCCAGCCTGGGCTACGGTGAGGTCCTGTCTAAAGAAAACACATTTTCAGTTATGCTTATTTTATTTTCTTTCACTTTTTTTAAAGGCCAGGATTTCTTTATGCAGCATTGGCTGTCCTGGACTTGCTTTGTAAACCAGGCTGGCCTTGAACTCTCAGAGATCCATCTGTCTCTACCCACAGCCACGGCACCCAGCTTGTATTTCTCTTTTTATAAGTCAGGGTCTCCCTATGGTATCCCTGACTGGCCTGGAGCTTGTTACGTAAATCAGGCTGTTATGTGAAATGACCTTAAACTCTGCCAGCCTCTCCTTCCCAAGTGCTGGGATTAGAGGCACGCACCACCACGTTCAATCACACACACACTCACACACACGTCTTTATGTACTGTGTGTGCGCATGCCCGTGTGCCGCAGCACACACGTGGAAGTCAGAGGCCAACTTACGGGAGTCAGTTTTCTCCTTCCACCGTGTGGGCTCCAAGGGTTGAACCCACAGACTGAACCCATGGTTTCAGGCTTTATAGCAATGCCTTTATTTACCTGCCACACCATTGCACTGGCCACAGAGAGTGATATTTATTTAACACATCTATCTATCTATCAATGTCCGCCTGCATGCCAGGAGAAGATACCAGATATGACTAGAGATGGTTGTGAGCCACCATGTGGTTGCTGGGAATTGAACTCAGGTCCTCTGGAAGAATAGCCAAGTACTCTTAACCTCTGAGCCATCTCTCCAGCCCTCAGAAAGTAATTTCTTAAAAACAGATCTTATACAAAAGTCTTGACAAAAGTAAGGCAAGAGAGGTGACTGAGAGGTGATGTATGCCTGCGGTCCTATTATTACTTGGGAGCCAGAGACAGGAGGATCAGCGTTCACAGTCACCCTTAAATATGTAGCCAGCTCCAGGCTAGCCTGAGATACATGAGGCCCTGTCCCTGAAAACCAAACTGGACAGCTAATGAGCACTGAGAACAGTGTACACGTCTTGAGATGCAAGGCTGCAGTGCACAGAGTGCAAGACAGAAAGGAGTCCTGTCCTCCGGACGGGCCTCTGCGGTCCAAGTCCAAACTCCTCCAAGAGCCTGCCAACTGCTCTCCGTCCTGGGCTGATGCTCCCTTCCCCAGCTGGAGTCACACATGGGCAAGGACAACCGTGTCCAACCCTCTCGTCTCTGCCGGGATGGCCCCATGGAATCACTAGATCCAGGCCAGCCTGCCCTGAACACAAAGTCCAAGACTCTAATTGGCTGCTTTGCTAGGATGGTGAAGAGCGTGACTTGGAAGACTGCCAAGTCCAACTGCCTACAATCTCCCAGCAAGTGGTTGGTGCGTGGCTCAGGGGTAGAGCACCTGCCTAGCACATGTGGGCTCTCTCTCTAGTGTGGGGGACAAACAGAGAGAGGGAATCAGGATGTTTGGCAAAAAAGTTTCTACTGCAAAATAAATGTCCTACTTGAGGTCCAACACTACGAACCCACCAAGTGCCAGGGACTCGCCTCACCCGGGTCCCGAAGGTACTCCCAGGGCAGAGAACACGCTCTGGTCCTGGGCACAGGTGTCTACAGGTCTGACCTCGGCCTAGCTGATGGCTTGAGCTGAGTTTCCAACAGGCTCCACTGATGGGCAAGCAGAATCTAGCAGCCCGCTAACTAAACCAGCCTCTGTCCTATGTCCCTCCCCATTCCCATAGCAGGGCTGGGCCCTACTCAGGTTTCCCTGGACTAGTGGTTTTTCAGCCTGGGGGTTGGGATCCCTTTAGGGTCAAATGACCCTTAATTAGGGGTTGCTTAAGTCTGTCTGCATAACAGATATTCACATTATCATTCATAACAGTAGCAAAATTAGTTATGAAGTAGCAAGAAAAATAATTTTATGATGGGAGACCATAACATGAGGAAGCATATTAAAGGGTCACACCTTTAGGAAGGTTGAGACCACTGATCTGGCCCATGGTCTCCCGAAACCCTCACCCCACAGTCTCTCTCACTAGTACTCAGGGACTGTCTGCATATTAATCAGATCTATCACCAAACTCTAAACCCTGCACCACAGCCCCCTTAGGAGTTGGTAGAACACTTGTCTAGAATCCCCCAGTGAGGGGCTGGGGTGTGGCTCAGTGGTAGAGCCCCTGCCTAGAATCCCCCAGTGAGGGGCTGGGTGTGGCCCAGTGGTGGAGCCCTGACCTAGAATCCCCCAGTGAGGGGCTGGGTGTGGCTTAGTAGTAGAGCTCATCGCCCTATGCTGGGAATATGTTTGCTCAACCCATCACTGTTTCCTCGCCTCCATGTGGATGTGTCCCATGCTGGCCCCACACTCTGCCTAGCAGCAGCAGACCAGTTTCCCTGTGTCCTGGGCTTGTGTTCCCCATTTCCCGCACCTGCTTTTTCAGGGGTAGCAATGCTTGCTCAGCTCCCCTAGCCTGGCACACAGTAGATGTCCATGTGCTTTTGTGAGATGAATAAATAGATGTATGTGTGGGTGGGAGGATGCGTATATGCATGCATAGAAAGCTGGGGATGGACAGGCAGGTGGGTGTTTGGATGGATGACGGATGGATGATGGATGGATGGATGGATGGATGGATGGATGGATGGATGGATGGATGCCTGATTGCACAGCTGGATGAACGGATGGACACATAGCTGCATGAATGACTGGATGGGTGGGTGGATGAATGTATAGGTGGATGAACAGATACACACATAGATAAATGGATGCCCAGGTGAGTGAATGGGTAGATGGACGGAGGAATGAGTGGGTGGGCGGCTGGGTGGCTGGATGGATGGAAGACTGGGCGGACAGATGGACAAGTGCTTTGATTTTTGTTACCACGTGGCTCCCCAGAAGGATCAGAAATAAAACTGTCGCTTTCAGCTAGCCCAAGTCTCCTCGGGCAACAGAACTCCTCATAGGCCACTGCCTGAGACAGCCCAGACTCCCAGGTGACCGTTACCTGGAGATGAGGGAGCGAGGATCACCCCATACATGGACACAGGGTTATCCATGCCCCTCACTCCATCCAGCACCCCTCTCCTGACCCATACCTCAACTTGGGCCTCATCCCAGGCATCCAGGCGGACTGACTTCACCTTGCTGACCTGGGGGATGTTCCGGTGGATCCCAGAGCAGCTCAGACAGATGAACACACCCAGGGTGTAGGACGCCCAGTCAGGATCTAGAAGGGAAGGGCAGAGGTCAAGGAAGTTCAGCCAAGACTCCAGAGCATGCCCACAAAGAAAGCTCAGTCTGAGACCGGGAGGGTAGACACAGAGTCCAATAGAGATCCATGGCAGGAGGTGGTGGGGATGGAATTCAGGGCCTTGTGCACACAAGGCAAGAGCTCTACCACTGAGCCACAGCCCAGCCACTCACTAGGGCAATGGTTCTCAATCTGTGGGTCATACCCCCTTTAGGGTTTAAGTTACTATTTCACAGGGGTTACATATCAGATATCCCGAATATCAGACATTTACATTATGATTCATAATCATAGATAATTATAGTTAGGAAGCAGAAACAAAATATTTTTATAGTTGGGGGGGGGGGTCACCACAACATGAGAAACTGTATTAAAGGACCACAGCCTTAGGAAGGTTGAGAACCACTGCACTAGGGGATTCTAGGCAGAGCTCAACCCCTGAGCCATACCTCCTGACTATCACTGAGAACTCTAGGCAGATGCTCTACCACTGAGCCATACCCCAGCCCCTCCCTGGGGGATTCTAGGCAGGGGCTCTACCACTGAGCCACACCCCAGCCCCTCACTGGGGGATTCTAGGCAGGTCCTTTACCACTGAGCCATACCCCAGCCCCTCACTGGGGCATTCTAGGCAGGGGCTCTACCACCATGCGATGCCCACAGCTGTCTTTACTTTTTACTTTGAGACACAGTCTCAGTAAGTTACTGAGGATGGACTCACTCTGTAACCCAGGAAGACCTTGAACTTTTGACTCCTACTTCAGCTCCCAGATTGCTGGAATTGCCTACCCAGTCCTGCTTCAGCTAAGAATCCCTAAAAATCATTTTCAATTATTTTCATCTATTTTTTAAATTTTAAAAATCCTATGTGTATGGGTATCTTGCCTGCATGTATGTGTATCACGTGTGCCAAGGAGGCCAGAAATTAGATCCTGGGAGTGGAGTTGCAGATGGTTGTGAGTGGCCATGTGAGTGCTGGGAATTGAACCTGGGTCCTCGGAAAGATCAGCAAGACCCTTAACCACTGAGCTATCTCTCCAGCCCCGCATTTATATATTTATTTTTGTATATACCCGTGAATGCGTGTGAGTGCATGTGTCATGGTGTGGAGGTTAGAGGGCAACTTGTGAGAGTCAGTTTTCTCCTCGCACAACGTGGGCCCTGGGGAACTGAACTCAGACCATCAGTCTTGGCAACAACTGATTTTACCCACTGAGCCATCTTGCCAAGCAAGAATGTCTAATTATTTAAAAGACTGATGTGGCCAAGATTTGACAGAGGCAGAACATCTGGGATGTCCATGTGTCATGGGCAGGAAGATGAATTTGCTCTGCTTGTTGCCTTAAAGTCAGTTTGGGATTTCCTTCCTTCCTTCTTTCTTTCCTTCCTTCTTTCTCTCTTTCCTTCCTTCCTTCCTTCCTTCCTTCCTTCCTTCCTTCCTTCCTTCCT